CCCCCCCGCCTCCTCCACTCCTGATTTATTTGATCTCGCGAACCCCACAAAAGGATTTGGCGTAAGGAGCCCGTCCCCCTCCTCCTCCTTCCCCCGCGGCTCAGTTTCTCGCGGGGGGCATGCTGCTGGAATCAACGACTTGACCTCATGAGATCTGCCCCATTATTCGCTTCGCGCTGCTCCCGCGGTCAAAAGTCAATGCGGAGGAGATACCAAAGCGGGATTAGCATGCTGACCGTGTCTTTTCGCCGGTCGTTGCTAAATGTGTCCCTTGTGAAAGCGCTTTCCTTAGTCTACGCTACGGGTACAAAGACGTTTCCATGGCGACAGGTCAACGGACCTCCCCCCCCCTCTCTCTCTCTCTTGTGTGAAAGGTGGGAGGGGTAGGTGAACAAGATGCACGAGTATTATTACATTGCTAAGTTTAACTTTTACTAAAGTGATAAATTTGTTGTTTCAGCCTAATTAGTACTTGTGCAGCTGAGAGAATTGAATTGAAAAATCATAATAAATGTGTTGTACGTGTCCTTACCTTTTTTCCTTGTTGCCGCAGGCACCTCATGGACAATCAGATCCACACGGTGGAGCGCGGTGCGCTCTCCGACCTCCTCGCGCTGGAGAGGCTGTGAGTATTATTCAGTATTCATTTTCAGCGCAAGTTGCTTCTCGTGCTTTCGCGTCAGAAAGCGTCGAGTCACACTTATTGAATCCGTGGGATAATCAAGCACTGGAAACCCCAAGTGTGTTGACGCCATTGACGCTATTCGTACAGATAGACGCAAAGATTTTTAGTGTTTGAATGTTCATTCGCACAGCTACAATTGTGCGCCATTAACACACTTTGCGTTTCCAGTTTGCTCGGACTGTTATGAAAATAATACAACGTTTTCTTCCGAAGTAGTTTTATAAAAATAAGAGGTGTCCTTATTTTTTACATTATTGTTTGTTTGCATGCGGTGTGCGGTGTGTTCGTCTGCCGGGGCATGCGTGGGCCAAGGCCCCGGTCGAGGCGCAGGGGCGGAGGCGGTGGTGCTGGGGGGCGAAGCGCGCGCGTTTGGGACCGGCGGCGCGGCGGCGGCGCCCCGCGGAAACGGAAGTCGTAATGTCTTTCGATAGTGCGGAGCTGCCGGCCGGCCAGTGCGTTAGCGCCCGCCGCATCTC